CCCACCCACATTCCCCCCTCTTTAGTTCATGTCCACGTGTCATAAGTTCTCTGGCCTCTACATTTCCCATACTATTCTTTCCCTCCCCCTATTTTCTACCTACCATCTATCTACTTATTCTCTGTACCTTTTCCCCCCTCTTCTCCTCCCACTCCCTTGTTGCTAACCCTCTGCGTGATCTCCATTTCTGTGGTTCTGTTCCTGTTATAGTTGTTTGCTTAGTTTGTTTTTGTTTTAGGTGTGGTTGTTAATAATTGTGAGTTTGAGTCATCTTACTATACATGTTTTTTTTCTTCTTTTTCTTCTTTTTCTTAGATAAGTCCCTTTAACATTTCATAAAATAAGGGCTTGGTGATGATGAACTCCTTTAACTTGACCTTATGTGAGAAGCACTTTATCTGCCCCTCCATTCTAAATGAAAGCTTTGCTGGATAGAGCAATCTCGGACGTAGGTCCTTGCCTTTCATGACTTGGAAGACTTCTTTCCAGCCCCTTCTTGCCTGCAAGGTCTCTTTTGAGAAATCAGCTGACAGTCTGATGGGACCTCCTTTGTAGGTTGCTGTCTCCTTATCTCTTGCTGCTTCTAGGATTCTCTCTTTCATTTTTACCTTGGCTAATGTAATTATGATGTGCCTTGGTGTGTTCCTCCTTGGGTCCAACTTCCTTGGGACTCTCTGAGCTTCCTGGACTTCCTGGAAGTCCATTTCCTTTACCAGATTGGGGGCGTTCTCCTTTATTATTTGTTCAAATAACTTTTTCACTTGTTGCTCTTCCTCTTCTTCTGGTACTCCTATAATTAGGATGTTGGAACATTTAAAGATGTCCTGGAGGTTCCTAAGCCTCTCCTCATTTTTGAATTCTTCTTTCTTCATTCTTTTCTGTTTGGATGTGTCATTCTTCCTTCTGGTCCACTCCATTGATTTGAGTCCCAGTTTCCTTCCCATCACTATTGGTTCCCTGTATATTTTCTTTTATTTCACTTAGCATAGCCTTCATTTGTTCATCTAATTTGCAACCAAAATCAACCAATTCTGTGAGCATCCTGATCACCAGTGCTTTGAACTCTACATCTGACAGGTTGGCTATCTCTGTGTCGCTTAGTTGCATGTGTTCTGAAGCTTCAATATGTTCTTTCATTAGAGCCTTTTTTGTTTGTTTGTTTGTTTGTTTGTTTGTTTGTTTGTTTGTTTGTTTGGTCTTGATGCACGTGTTATGTAGTGCGGCACTCACCTATTTTTATAAGTGTTTATTGATTGTCTCCTTTCTGCCAGGCACTGGGCTAAGTACGAGGGACAGAAAAATGAACATGGCAAAAACCATCACTGTCCTTCTAAAATTTACCCCTTTAGCCAACAGAAATTCTATCCTTGCTCAATATCCTGTTCAACCACATCTGTCATGAAGCCTTACCCGACGCCATGCCACACTTGAGTTCCTTCTCCAATGAAGCTTCTGTAGGCACCCTCCATTAGGCCTATCATACAAGATTTGTAGGAATGTCTTGATCACACTTGGCCACTATTCATTTGAGACTTTTATGGTTGAGTTCTTTTTTTCTTCTTTTTTACATTATATTTTATTGATTGTGTTATTACAGTTGTTCTGATTTTTTCCCCTTTTCCCCCCTCACCCAGCACCCTCAACTCCCTCAGGCAATTCCCCCACCATTGTTCATGTCCATTCATCACATGTATAAGTTCTTTGGCTACTCTATTGCCTATACTGTACTGGGCATCCCCATGACTATTCTCTAACTGCATGTTTGTACTTCGTAATCCCCTCACGTCCTCACCCATTCTCCCCTACCTTCCTCCCATCTGGTAACCATCAAAATGCTCTCCATATCCATCATTCTGTCTCTGTTCTTCTTGTTTGCTTGATTTGTTGTTTAGATCCAATTGTTGACAGGTATATATTTTTTGCCACTTTCTTGTTCCTAGTTTTTATCTTATTTTCTCTTAGATAAGTCTCTTGAACATCTCATATAATATTGGTTTGGTGATGATAAACTCCTTTAGAATTCTATTGTGTGGGTAGCTCTTTATCTGCCCTTCTGTTCTAAATGATAGCTTGTCTAGGTAAAGCAGCCTTGACTCCTGACCCCTTCTTTTCAGGACTTTGAATATTTTGTGCCAACCCCTCTTAGCCTACACAGTTTCTTTAGAGAAATCACCTGACAGTCTTATGTGACCTCCCTTGTGGGTAACTAGCTTCTTGATTCTTGCCACTTTAACGATTCTTTAACTTTTGGCATTTTAATTATGCTGTGTCTTGGAGTGGGCCACTTTGTATCCATTTTGCTTATGACTCTGTGCTTCCTGGACTTGTGTGTCTATTTCCTTCACCAAATTAGGGAAGTTTTCTTTCACTATATTTTCAAATAGATTTCCAATTTCTTGCTGTATCTCTTCTCTTTCTGGCACTCCTATGATGCAAATGTTGGACCTGTTGAAGTTGTCCCAGAGGCTATTTGCAGTAACTTCATTTTTTTTTGCGTTATTTTTTTCTTCTTGTTGTCCTGATTGTTTTTTTTTCCCTTCCTTATGCTCCACATGATTGAATTAATTGTTGGCTTCATCTACTCTACTGTTGTTTCCATGTAAATTGTTCTTTATTTCAATCCACCCATTTCTGACTGGATCTTGTTTATGCAGTTGAGGTCCTCACTAAGTTCCATGAGCACCCTGATAACCAGTGTTCTGAACTCTGCAACTGATACGTTGTTTATCTCCATTTCCCTGAGCTGTATTTCTGGAGTTTTGATCGGTTCTTTCATTGGGGCTGTGTTTCTTTGCCTCCTCATTTGGCAGCCTCCCTGTGTGTCTTTCTGTGTATTAGGAAGAGTTGCTTTGACTCTGTGTCTTGGTAGCGTGGACTAATGAAGTACGTGTCCTGTAGGGTCCAGTGGCACAGCCTCCCCATCACCCAAGCTGGGTACTTGAGGTGCACCCTTCACGTGGGCTGGTGTTGAGCCTTGGTTGCTCTTGGCAGAACAATGGGAGGGATGTACCCACGCCAGTCAGCTGTAAGACTGGCTGTGACCACAGACCACCAATTTCTGCCCTCTGTGGACAATCGACTGTGCAGGCGCAGGCGATGGTGCTATGACATGGACTGTAGCTGTCTACCAGGTGTGCTGGCTGGAGTTTCCTGAGTGGAGCAGGCCCAGATATCCCCAACCTGTGTTGTTCCAGGGGCTACCCTCCTGAGCTGTAAAGCAATATAATCTGCTACTTGTGCTGGGCTTAGAGATTCCCTGATGAAGCCAAGCTGTGACTCTAATTTGGCTGCCTTTAGGGCTCACTGAAGCCTGCTGTCACTTGTTGGATAGGATTTAGGAGTCAAGACCAGCCATTCTTATGGAAATGCAGCTTATGTGGGTCCATAAGTTGGGTGGAGTACAGCCTCTGTAAATCTCCAAGATGGGTCACACAGTGTTAGCCAGGTTCATGGAGTCTCAGATATTGCCCTAGCCTACTGGCTCTGGTGGGGGGAGGGGGTAGCTCAGCAAAGGGACAATGGCCTCTGCTTGCCCTGAAACCAGACACTTCAGTCTCTCCCTGTATACCACTGGTGCCCCTTCAACCTGCCAACCCCATGCTGGAACTCAGGATTAAGTCTGAGTGACTCTGAAGGTAGGTTCTTTAAGGGGGACTGCTTGGGTCTCCAGAAGTTTCTCCCACCATTCTCCCCCTTGTTTTTTGCAGCCAGAAGTTGTGAGGACTTATGTTCCTGGCACTGGAATCCCTGGGCCGGGGTCCTGGTGTGGTTCTGGGACTCCTGGCTCCCGACATATCCATTCCAAATATTTATCCACCACACATGGGTGTGTGACCAGCCTGTCCCACAACTTTGCACCTCCTACCAGTCTGGATGGTTGTGGTTTCTCTATTTCCATGGTTGTCAGACTTTGACTCAACTCCATTTCTGACAGTTCTGAGTGATGGTTGTTCTAAAATTTAGTTGTTTTCTTAATGTGGTTGTGCAAAAAGGCCAGCCATGTCTGCCTATGCCACCATCTTGACCTGAAGTCCACAAATGAGTTCTGAAATCCTGTTATTTTTGTTCTTAGGTTTTAATCATTAGCCATTATTATGGTTACATCTGTTGTGTCCTTCCAGATAGAAGAAAAAAAAGAATTCTTCTGCTCTATCATAGAAATTGCCTGCTTTGCAGACTGTGCTTTGAGTTGGTAATTTTTGCTTTCGAGTTGATTATCTTTTTCCTTAGACTTGTCAGCACTTATAAACTCTACTATCCCAGACCTTTTTCTTCAAGTCTCCAGGTCTTTCACACTATTGTGTGGTAGAAACCTCCTGGAACCTAAACATTTGATTTCACTGATCTTTTTATTCTAGTTAAAACAAGAGGTGACTCAGTCAGCTATTTGAACATCCACTGCTGATCACAGCCTGAAAGAATGTGCCCGAAGATATCTGTTGTTTCTCCCATTTCTGCCTTTGTCTCCTATATGGTCTCATAACCAGCACTGGATCTCCTTCTTCTATTTCCCCAAGCAACAGTTGCTTCAAAAGAGTCCTTTCCCTATCTGGGTGACAGTTGCATCTTGAACCAATTGCTGAAACAGATTCCTATGCTGACTTTAAGCACAAAATAAATTTATTTACCCATGGTTCTAGAGTCAATGGAGAGACTGGAAAACCCAGACTCAGAACTAGGGCAGGAGGAGATTGGCCACCTGATACCATGAAATTAGTTCAGTAAACTCATGTTGCTGCCAACAGAAGGAATGCATGACACAATGGTACGATGAAAAGGCCCCAGTCCTCAGATAACCTCTCAGATCTCCACTGGCATACTTTCTGTGCACTCACTAAACACAACATCTGCCCTGGCTGGCCTCTCTATCCTTTTTTCTCACTGTCAGGGGAGGAGCCCATCTTGGCACTGTCACTGGCCTGTGCCTTCACCTCACCTGAGCAGGGGCTCGAAGCCCAGCCATTCCCAAAACTATATCTAGCTGTCTCCCCAAGTAGTCTGCACCAGGACCTGGGGAAGTCCAGTAGCTTCCACCCAGACACAATGAGCACAATGCTGCCTGTCCTGCTGTCCCTACTGCTTCTTGTGGGTCTTGCAAACACCCAAGATGGTAAGTTGGGAACCAAAGGCTGGGTATCAAACAGAATGGAGGGGAGGTAATGAACAGGATAGACGGTGCTGGGAAAGGGCACAGGATGAAGCCGAGTTTCCCAGACTACAGTAGGAATGGCTGTTCGATGCTGTCAGCTATCTTGGCTCACACACTTCCAGGAGTACTGAGCCACTGGACTCTTGCTATGTAAGACCTTAAATAATTAGAATCTAAAATGTTAGTAGACAAATTAACAAAATTCAGTCCCAGATGCTCTGGCCAGATAGCCCTAGCCCAATATGCCAAGGCTGAGGGTTTCATCTCCAGTCAGGGCACACACAAAAGTCAACCAATGTATGTGTGATTATTAGAATAGCAAATCTCTCTTTCTCTCTCAGATCAAAAAATTAAAAGTTAAAAAAAAACTAAGACCCGAACAGATAAAGTGACCTGACCTGTGTCACAGCCAGGAGAGAGCAGAGGCCACACAGGTGGAATTTCTCTTCTTCCCTCCCTCCAATGGCTGGGCATGCCTGTCTAACTCTCAGGGAGAAAGACAGGACTCCAAAGAGCACTTACTTGTAAAGGCATGTAAGCTGGAGGACGCTTCTAGAAACAAAGCCATTCCTCACTCCACAGTTAGTCACTACAACAGTGGGCCTGGAAGGCTAGAGACTGGGAAAGAAGCCAGATGGAGGTCAGGCAGAACTAGGGTTAACTTTAGGACAGAGTAGTGAGGCTTTTCTTGGCCTACAAAATTTCAGGATGATATAAGCTAAATGGTACAAGTTTAGAATTTATTGCATTCACAAGCTGTCAGAATATATCTTTTATGACAATTGATCCTACTTAGATTATCAATCACATCCTACACCAAAATGTAATTTAGTCAGGGTTCTTTAGAGAAATGCAATGAATGCTACATATGTGCACAGAAAGAGAGATTTCTTTCCAAGCTTATGGCTCACAGCACTGTGGGGGCTGCAAGTCTGAAATCTGCAGGGCTGGTCAGCACAGTGGAGATGTGGAGATTTGGTGTTTAGTCTTGGGTCCAAAGGCAGTCTGGAGGCAGAATTTCTTCTTGTCTCTTGTGGCCTTCAACTGATTACAGTAGGCCCACCCACACTATGGAGTATAATCTGCTTCACTTGGTGCTTACTAAAGAAATCTTAATAGCTATTAGAAACTAATTAGTGAAAATAACTTCAGTCCTAGAAAGAAGAATCTGCCATGTGACCTCCACTGAATTAGTAACACCCATGAGAGGGTTACTAATTCATGAGTGATATCAAGAATTCGTTATTGAGTTAATTATGGAGTCCCCCCACCCCTCTCTCTGTCCCTGCCTCATATCAAAGTGCAGGAACAGCCCAGGCAATTCTGAGGTCCATTCTGGCCTTGCCTTCTGCTGATCCATTCTAGGACATTTCCTGAGGCTTCTAGTCAATTCTCCTTCCTACACTTTCTAACTGTATGTATTTGTCAGGTTCAATTAGGTAATGTTCCAGTGACAAGGACACTTTTTTTGTGGCTTCACTCAAAAAATGTTCATTTCTTGCTCATGTAAAGATGAATACACATCAGTCAACTTGGTGTGCTCCCAGGGATGACTCAAGGATTTAGGTGGTTTGCACTTTGGGACCCTCCTCTTCATCCTCTGGCCTCCACAGTCATCGCCTAAATGAAGAGAGACAAAGGGTTCAAACCAGCTTGCAGGCCTCTGACCAGAAGCAACACATCACTTTCCCTCACATTCCCTTTTGACAGAACTCAGTCATGGTCCCAATACACCTACAAGAAGACTGAGAAATATTATCTCTGATGGGCTAAGAATCAAACCAGTGTAGTGAAAACACAACGTGGTCTCTGAAATATCATCCCCAGAATAGAAGTAGAGCCCCTTCTCTCACGTGAGCTTCCAAGAGTGTGTGGCTGACAACAGCGTGCAGAGAGCTGGGGAGGAGGAAGCCCAGTGACCAGGCCTCCCTTCCTTGTCCTCTGCTGTGCCACTGTGGCATTCCTCTTTGTGGACCCCACATCTGAATCTTTTTTTTTGCAGGACGTTACTCTCTGAGGTTCCACTATACTGGGGTGTCCAGGCCCAAGGCAGGCTTCCCCAGTTTTCAGGCCACTGGCTACCTCAATGATCTAGCCTTCCTCCACTATGATAGTAATGGTCAAGTGGCTAAGCCCTTGGGCCCATGGACACAGGTGAAAGGAATGATGGACTGGGAGAAGGAAACTCAGTTGCAGAAGGCCAGGGAGGACACCTTCATGGAGACCCTGAAAGACATCATGAACTATTACCAGGATGGAGGTCAGTGAACAATCGACTGCTGGGGTGGAGGGTCTTAGCTAAAGAGACACTGCATTTTGTAGCAGAAAGGAATCTACAGGATGGAAATACCCCTTGCCTAAAAGTAGGGGGAACAAGTGCAGATACACAGACACTTCTGCACTCTTTGTCCCCACATCAGCCACCCCTGCCCCTTCCCCATCTCGTCCCCAATCCTCACTTTCAGGCCTCAACTCTCACAGGAGGTGAAGTCAGTTTCAGCCCTTTCCTAGGCACATCTGACCTCTTAGTGCCACATCCTGGCCTCTGAGGTAGATTCCACTTTCTAAGGTATCAGACTCACCCCCATGCAGGGATGCTGGGTGGGGAGGGAGCTAACCTTAGGGTGATTCTCACCAGGAATCAAGTGCTGACTCCGCCATTCACTAGCTGTTTGACAGTGAACAAGTTCTTAATTATCTATCTGCTGTGAAAATTTAAGAGAAAACAAAAACCTGAATCATTGATTCCTGCCTCCAAGAGGTGAATTCCATGAAGGCTAGAACACACATTGTCTTCATCTCCCCTGGAGCCCCATCACCTAAGAAAGCCAATGATAGTTGCTAAAATGAAATGAAGAGCTTGTGTCTTCCTTCCAAGCAAATGTCCTTTTCCAAGACTTGCTGCTAATTGGGAAGGGACGTAGACATTAGAGATTTGTTTGAAGATATTACAACCCCACTAAGAGAGACAAACTGAGGAAATTGTGCTGACTCAACTGGAGACACCAACTTTACATACAACTGGAAAAAGGGAAAGATCACCTACTGTATTGTAAGCTACAAATAATTGCTGTTTAACTTGAAAATGCACTTTGGTGTGTTGGTGTCCATTTCCTAAGACCTCACACTCTAGTGAAACAAAGTTCATTTACAGGGAAGCCGCATGGGGCTAGGAGGTCTGTCCACAGTCCTTAGCTCTCTGAAGTTTCTTGACTGGGAAAAATGTATCTCATCTCAGACTGGCCTAAAGCACCAATGCATCCTCAGTTTCTCTCTCTGCCTGCTCTATGTCTGGCTAAAAACCCATTTGCCAAGATAACAGGAGTTGCATGCTTAGATTTCAAACCCTTTCTTCCTGCTGGGTTGCAAACTGTGTAGGAGTTAGTGCAAACTATTAAGATGGAGTTGGTGGTCGATGCTAGCTGACTCATTCTGTGGGGGTCCTGGTGAATGCAGGGAATCACACTCTTCAAGGAAGGTTCGGTTGTGAGCTTCGGGATAACAACTACTGTGGAGCATTCTGGACATATATTTACGATGGACAGGAATACATCAAGTTCATCACAGAAATCCCAGCCTGGTTCCCTCGGCAAACAAAAGCTGTGTTCACAAAAGTAAAGTGGGAGAGAGAAGGCTCTGTGCAGCGGGCCAAGGCCTACCTGGAAAAGGAGTGCCCCCGGTTGCTGCGGAATTACCTGCAGCACAGCAAGACATTCCTGGATAGTAAAGGTACCCACTGCTCTCTATGCCCTGCTCCCCCCACACTGAGTTGAGAAAGACCAAGGTGATACCAGGCTGGGAGCACAGAGGAACGTTTCAGGCAAATCCTCTAGTCATGGCTCTCTATGATATGCCTCCTGGCTTCACTGTGGTGTGTAAAATGTCTGCCCAGGAAGGATGAAGTTGACTAAGTGTGAGCAGGATTGATTGTCACAGGCTGAGCCTTTAGTGACAAGTAATGAGAAAGAGCGGTCTGTGGAGGGAGGAGGGAAGGGTCCCAATGGCAGAGCAGCAGACAGAAAAAAAGAGTGGGACTGAGACAGTGGGTGACAGGCACCACAAAGCACACAGTTTCTTTGCATCAGAAGTCACTACACAGTGGGTGGAAATGGGGGCTGCTGGGAGGCAAGAAAGTGGCCAGGGACATCCCATTGTCCCACAGGGGAAGCTCATGGAAAGCCTCAGCTTCCCTGATCTTCTTGAAGTTTCCTTGAGGAGGCACTGAGCAGGGAAACGTCCCCTTCAGACCCTCACTCCAAGCTGTATCTTTCCACAGATGCTCCGTCTGTGTTAATCACCAGCCAGGAGGGCCCAGAAAACATCAGGACCCTCAAGTGCGACGCCTACAACTTCTACCCAAGACCAGTCAGTATGTACTGGACTCGACCAGGCATCCCAGTGGAGACTTATGAATGGGGAGACATTGCTCTCGGTGAAGATGGCAAATACCACTCCTGGGTGATGGTGAAAGTCCCCTCTTCAGACACAGGCCCCTACCTCTGCCACGTGCAGCATAGCAGCCTGGCCCAGACCCTCACTGTCCCATGGAATCAGGGGCAGGAATCACAGGCTGCAGGAGACCAGTAACCTGCACTTCCTAGTCTGGAGACCAGTAACCACCTGTGTGTCCTTTGGGAAAGGAGAGAGGTGAGCTGGAGAATGGCTGTCATCACCATCAGTGCATCCCAGAGAAGAGGTGAAGGGGACAGACAGGTGGTGAATTTGGAGACACAAGGCTTGAATGCTGGGCACTGGGCTGCCTCACTGCTACATTCCCCCTCAGAACCCATTATCTAGAATCTGAAATTGTATCAGCACTAATCTACACTAATCAGATAGCCTAGACACAAATAAATCAGATTGTTCAACTGTTAAATGCTGTAGAAACTTCAGCAGAGGTTATCATTCATCCTTCCCCCAAGCATTTGAATCATCTGAAATTCTTGGTACCCCCTGGAAGCAGTGTGTCCTGGCCATCTTGATCAGGGGTCCCCAACCTAGTGTGGCCTGACCACCAGGTACCTTGAGCACTGTTCAGGTGCTCACTGCTGAGGTCCCTTCTGCTTTGAAGGTCACACAACTCTGCAACCTTCTTAATACAATCTGAAGCTTACTCTCCACCTCAGATTTCTTGGCATTTGCTTGCCACCCTGTGAACCTGCCTTCCACTCCACATACCCCACCAATCCCACACCACCATGACCTTGGGGCCACCCTCAACCATAGCTTACCTGGGAGGTTTCATTCCTCTAGGATGCACTCCCAAGGAAGCAAGAAACACTCTGATGTTCTTAGACTTCTTCCAAATAATTGTGTGTGTGTGTGTGTGTGTGTGTGTGTGTGTGTGTTAACTGAGTCACTTACCAACATGCACAGATCTAAGCCAAAAGAAAACTGAACTAACAAAACAAAAAACCAAAATAAGAAAACTGGAGCAAAACTCATAGACGTGACCCTTTTTTTTCTGCCTTGGTGCCTCAAATTACCTTAACAATTCCTCATTCTCTCAGGACTGTCTTGCCTCTCCTTGGGAGGGATTCTTCTGGAGACAGTTTACCAGCTAGACTTCAGGGATGAAGGACTCTGAGTCAAGCAGGAACACTAATGGATATAGGACTTAAAAACAGTCTTTGCTAGTACCTTTGTCATTTTGATCAACATTGATTTTCTAACCTTGTTTTCAGCACTGACGGGGTAGCTCAGTTGGGTGGAGAATCATCTCCATACACCCAGGTTGTGTGTCTGGCCTCTGGTCAGGGCACATGCAAGAACCAGCCAATGAATGCACAGATAAGTGGAACAACAAATCAATGTTTCTCTCTCTCTCTCTCTCTCTCTCTCTCTCTCTCTCTCTCTCTCTGTCTGTCTCCCTCTCTCTCTCTCTCTTCCCCCTTCCTCTCTTTCTAAAATCACTGAATAAATAAAAACAATTAACCTTGCTTCCAGCTAGATCTTGCTGTTTCAGCTAAATAGTCTTATTATTCATCAGACATATTTAGTGTTTTTTCTATTTCCTTTCCTCATATAATGACCGACTGATTGTAGAATTATATATTGAGTATCTGTTTTATGCTGGAGTTTACCTCAGTTCTGCTTATTGACATAATATCCAAGGCCCAGCTCAAATCCCACCTCCTCCCTTGACCACTGCCATGACCACCAATGCCAGCACACACTCTTCATACTGAGACTCTTTCACATAAAAATATCAGGGAAGCCCTGGCCGCTGTGGCTCAGTTGGCTGGAGTGTAATCCTGTAAGTGAGGGGTCACTGGTTTGATTGCCCATCAGGACACATGCCCCAGGTTGTGAGATCAGTCCCCAGTTGGGGTGCAGGCAGGATACAGCTGATTGATGTTTCTCTCTCTCTCTCCCCCACCTTTCCCTCTCCCTCTCTACACACACACACACACACACACACACACACACACACACACGCTCTCTCTCTCTTGAATGAAAATAAAATAAACCTTTAAAAATATATATCAGCAAAGATCAAGGAAGAAATTTGAGTAAAGCCAATCTCCATACTATCTAAGGATGTCACAAGCAATTCCAGACCACCCATCACAAATCCACTCCCTTGCTCCTTCCCACATGAAAGGGAAGACATAAAATAAAGGAAACCAAACATGGGTAGAGGTTGCAGAAAAAAGAAGGAAGACACAGAAATCAAATTGGCTGACTACTGAATCCCAATTCAGACTTTTTTCCTTTGCTCCTTTTTAAAGTTTTGGTGATTATACCTATCCATGTATTTCTTCAATAAATATTTACTGAAAATCCCTCAGCTATAAGATACTGAGATAGATGTTAATGTAAAAAAGAAATGAGCCCAAAGTATGTCATTTCACACAGTGATAAGGTCACAAAGGGGTTTTGCAGTCCAACTGGGGAGATTTTTGAATAATGCTCTGTGGTTCTGATATTGATTCTTAGTGTGACAGTTGAAGGCTTTTTAAAAAAAAAAAATCCTCATCCGAAGACACACGTATTGATTTTAGAGAGAGAAGAAGGTAGCAGGGGAGAGAGAGAGGAAACAAACATCCATGTGAGAGAGGAGCATGGATCGGTTGCCCCTATGCGTGTGCCTGCTCCAAGGATCAAACCCACTCCTAGGTATGTGCCCTGACAAGGGAGAGAACCTGCAAACTTTTGGTACTCACGATGACACTCCAACCTACTGAGCTACCTGCACAGGGCTACAGTGAAAGGCTTTTTGACTGTAGGGTGGCATGATCAGAACTGTGATTCAGGATTGTTAACCAGATATTAAGGAGAACAGTGGATTGCAGGAGGAGCAGAGAAATTGGCTGCAGAAAGCGCCCCTTGTGGTCTAACAGCAAAGGTACAGCTGCTGGACTCCCCTGGGCAGGGTCTCCTCCAGCCTGAGTGCCAGGAAATCCTGTGGCTCCCACAGAATCTGCTGAAGCCGAGATGGCTACATTACTATCCCTGACAGCAGGACAGCTTGGGGAAGTGGCAGTGCTTTCTATTTGGGAGGTTAATAACTGCCATGGATCATTCTACAACTGAAAGCCTGCAGAGAATGGAAAGAACTCCCCATGGCCCAAGCTCTTCCCTAAAGCCAGGTTGGCAGAGCTGCCTTCTGCCCCTCCTGCCCCTCCCACCTCTGGCTGCCCCAGAATGCAGAAGAGGGAAGACCCCTAAAGAGGCTCACAAAGTGCCTCCTGCCCACAACAAGCTGCTCCTTCTATCATTTATTAAAATTTCATCTTATTTGACTTTCCTCTCTCTAGGTATGAAGATTAAGTTCACCATACCTAGAAAGTAAACACCATAGCACCAGTTCAGACAACTCAAGACCCCTCTCGTTTTTCTTTATGCAGCTATTTTCCGGAGTCATACACATCCTCACATTGCAGACCCTTGGCTGGTTATAGGAGATCAGCCTCTCTTCTACACACCAGCTTCTAGTAGGTTCTCTCCCTCCTAGGCAAATGAGTCAGGGTGAGCAGACTCAAATGCTGTGGTGATAGTCACTTACTGCCCACTCTCTCTCTATCCACTGTGAGTTATGAAGTCTCTATGTTGTGTCTCTTATTTTGACAGATCACATTCTGAGATACTGGGGGGTTAGGGTTTCACCAATCCAATTGTGGGGCGGGAGACACAATTTGGCCCATAACACTGGTTCCAAGAACTTTCTGGGCTCTGGGCTGGTACTTATTTTACACATTGAAAAACTATGAAGGTCTTTTGGAGTAAGGTGTGTCTCCTTAAGGCTTCCACAGTGAAGAACAATGTCCTAAACATCTGGATTTTAATGTAGGAAAGTAACCGACTGGAATATTCTGCTATTCCAGACCCAGCTAAATGGGTTGCTCTCATCTCACCTCTGTGTTCTGTTTGCCACACTTTCTTGTTCCTTCAGACTCACCACGTGTGCTAAGGCATGAGGCTTTGGGGACAAGCTGTCTTTAAAGCCCCCTGCAATCTTGCAGAACTGTGTCCACCAGTGTTGTTTGAGGACAAGCAACAGACACTGGCTGGCTAACTTCAGCCCAGCTCCACCCACCCCCTTAACCAGAAAAGATCTTCATTGGTAAAATTTTAAGTAGCTCGTGATTAAAAGGAACAGCTGAAGAACTGTCTCTCAGGGGGCCAACAACAAACCGTTGGCAAGTATAGGGGCCAGGGAGAAGCCACATTAGCTCTAAGAGGAATAAAGTGCCTAGGAACGAATGGACGTTCCCCTAGAGGATGATAGGACTTTAGTGCCCGAATTTAGAGAGCTTGTTGTTGGCAACCAAGTTCCCTACCTGTGGCCTGGAATCTAGTATTTGCCACTTGTCTTTAGGAACCCGGGTTTGAGGCTCACACAGTGCCCCTGACTCCAGGAGTCAGCTCTCAGGCATCTCTCATCTCCCATCCATCCTTCCTCATGCTCTGCAGAGCCTTCTGCAGAGGGACCATCTAGTTCAGCACCAGGAGCACTAGAAAGAGTCTTGAGTTGGTGACTGCAGACCACACAGGACACAGCATTAGGTGAGGGACTGAACACAGGAGGGGAAGTGTTGTTTGACAGTCTATACAATGATAAGTCAGACACCTCACCCCCCAGAGAAGGGAGGTATTTTCTCTGGAAAGATCTGACTAAGGCCTCTGCTCCACATTCAGCAACAAGAGGCATGGATGTGGATGTCACCTGGAGATGAGGTACCAGGTGGAAAACGGGGAGGAAATGAAAGTCTACCTCTGAAGAGTGAGACAACCTGGCCCCTCTTCCCCTGGTCTTTTCTTCATTTAACTCCATCTTCAGACAGTGATTCTCAGGGCCACATGTCTCCTCAAGTTTAATTTTTTTAATGGAATTTTTTTCTTCCTTTCTTTATTCTCACTGGCTTTTCAAGAGTAGTTTTTCAAGAGAAGAGATGTGAACACATCCTTACCTCACTGTTGGCGATTGCTTGGTGTGGTTTTGCAGACTGTAGCCCCATGAGAGCAAGCTCTGAAAGGGGATGGTAAGACTCCCTGGAAAACCTGGTCATAACACAGGTGCAGACATGACTCAGTTCTAACACTGAGGGTCCCGTGGGAATCAGGCCTGAAATGTACTTTTTTTGTCTTCTGAAGTCGGCTGTGCCCAGCAATTAGCGCTGTTAGTATAACCCCGATGCTTGACTTCAAGACATAAAGAGTGAAACTCCCTACTTCATGATATACAGCTTTACAGCCATCTGGCACCTGCATGTCTTGCAGACCCCAACCTGGAAAGATTTCTGTGTTTCTTTAATTGTTATCTATAGCTAGTGCTAGTTATTCATGACTGTAGCCTGTTGAACATTGATTGATAAGCTATGCACGTGTGCTGTATCGCCCTGCACTTCCCAACCCTAACAAAAGCCAT